TGACACCGCTTGTGGGCTCCGGCGCTGACTGATTAACTCTGCTGTCGCAGAGCCCTCTGCCAGCGTCAGGGTCAAACAAATTGTTTTCACGCTTCGTCAGAGGTTTACTTAATTAGTTCATTTGCAATTAGATCTCTTTGTAGCCAGGATTTTTAGCAAAGACATCAGAAGGAACTGACGGGCTCACTCGCTGCTTCCCCCGCCTCCCCGGCTGTCTGCTCGGCCGAGGCGCCGGGCTCTCCATCAGCCAGGTTTTGGGGTTTTACGGACTGACCCTGCCCTCTGCCACGCCTCTGGCTCCAGTGGGAGCATCCCTTGGATGCCTCCTCATTCCCAGGGAAGGAGCTGGGCAGAGGCCTTACAGGGGAGGATGAGGAGGTGTGAAGGCAGCCTGGGGAGGTTGGGGTGGTGAGTGAGTGAGTGATTCAGGCTCCTGTGTCCTCCTTCCTCTGCCTCTGACTCATGGGGTGAACCCAGATGAGGCATCTCCTCCCACCTTGCAGGGCATGTTTGAATGGCACAGGGCAGATGAGTGAGCTCTGGTTTGGAAGCTGGAGCTGGAGTTGGCAGGGGATGGCCAGGGCTGGGTGACAGTGTCAGGAGAGCTGTGCTGTGCCAGCCAGAGCTGTGGGATCCCTGCATCCCACCTGCCTGTCCCCCTTCCCAAGGGACAGCCTCCCAAAAATACTGGTGAAGGGTTTCTGTCCCCTCTCTGCTAATGTGGGGACATGTCAGGCTGTGGGACAGGCAGATAGAAAACTTCCAGCTCCCAAAGGCCGAGCCCAGCTGGAGAGTGGGCCCGGCCTCGAGTCTGAGCTCCGGCTTTGAGCCTGCTCTGAGCATCACCTCCGTGGAGCAGCTCAGAGAGCCCCAGGGTTGGGGTGGAAAGGGGCAGCATGGCCTTTGAGCAGTGATTTATGAGGGAGAGGGTCGGTGGGAGATGTCTCCATTCCTGCTTGGCACAGCCTGGGCTCTGGCAGCCTTTTCCCTGGAGAAGCACCCGTGCCCTTGCTCTGCTGTGCAGGGAGAGGAGCGGGGCTGAGGCACAGGGGGGTTTGCTCACCTACAGGCTTGGCAGCTGGTCCCAGTTACCTGCCTTGTTTGTGCAAGTTGGGGCTGGAAGTCTCTCGCAAACAGCCGGGTGAGACTCCTGCCCTGCTCCTGGGGCACCTTCTCCTGGGGGCATCCCCAGGCTGCTGCTCTGCTGGGTTTGGGGGTGAGGACCCCCACAGGGGGCTGCTGGGATGTCCCTGCCTCTGCAGCAAGTGACGTCCCCAGGAGTCCTACCCCCCCTCCGAGGAGGAGGGAGAGCAGTGAGGACCAAAGGTCCTTCTGCTTCATAAACACAAAGCACCTCATAAACACGAGGCATGAAAGTGGTAGGATGAGGAACACCCTGGAAATGCTACCTTCTGCCTTCGGGGGTTTCCTTAGAGGGTGTAAGTCAACCTCCATAATCACACCTTTGTCCTGGAAACCTGCTTCTCAGGTCTTCCTGGCACCTCCTGCCAGCAGCCTTCTCCAGGAAAATCCGTGGGCTTTCCATCAGGCAGTGGCTGCTCCTAAACACCATGTGGCTGCCACAGGCAGGGCTGGGTGGGTATGGCCCCCTTCCAGCCCAGGTCTGGGGAGATGGCACAGCCTGGTTTGCTCAGTCCCTTGCATGCCTCGGTTTCCTTTCTGCTCATCCCACTTGGGGCACTGGTGCCAGAGCATCCCTGAGCAATTTGCAGGTCAGGGCTGATCCCAGGTGTGGCCACAGCTGAGGGGGAGCATTTTGGGCATGTCCAGGCATAACCCTCTGTGTTCTCCTCCCCAGACACCTCAACACAGAACATGCACTTGATGACCGAAGCACGGCCCAGTGTCGAGTCCAGATGCAAGTGGTACAGCAGCTGGAGATACAGGTGGGTGCTACCCCTGCCTCCATGGACACGGGTGTAAAAAGCCATCTCCTTCCCCCTCTGCACTCCATGCCTTGGCTGCTCTCCTCAGGGGGGAGCAGGGAGGTTGGGGACCGTAACCACCCACCTGGGGACTCGTTTCAAACATCCTTCCCAAACAGCAGTGCTGGCCCTGGGCTGCATCTGGGTGGAAATCAATCCCTGGGCAAAATCTCAATCTGGTTCCCCCCATACCAGCATCCCTGTGATGGGGCTGGAGGACAGGACAAGCCATCCCTCCTGCCCAGAGTGTCCCTGTGGGTACAGGGAGATGCCACAGATGTGGAAGGCACGTGCTGCCAGGAGGGTTCATGCCCACAGGTGGGACATGAGCTGTGCCACCTCCGTGGGAGCTGCAGGGCCACTGGGGTCCTTGGAAATCAGGCCACTTATTTTGGTGGCTGAGCGTGGTCTGTGGAGCCCAACTTCAGGGTGCTATTTTTGGAAAGGCAAGTTCTTTAAATAGAGCCTCTCTCAGCATCTCTGGCTCCCCAACGTGCTGTGCATAATTCGGTTAATGGAGAAGGGAGGGGGGGAAGAGGGGAGGAAATGGGGAGTTTTCATCTCAGGACTTGAAAGAGGGACAGGGCAGGGGTCTGTCAGGGGGTCAGTCACCAAGACCCCCGTGATGTGGCAGTGCCTGGGTGCCTGGCTGGGGCTGGCAGGAGCTCAGGGCAGTGTGTGCGTGACATCTCAGGGTACACTGGCCCAGGGGACAGTGGGATGTGATGTGGGGCACCCTTGGGAGCCTCCACCCTGAGTCACAGCAGCTCGGGGGGAGCTGTGGGATCGAGGAGAGGCTGCAGCCTCCTGGGTGATCCCTGCAATCCATCCCTGCTCCCCAGCCCTCGCCAAAGCGAGAGGTTGAAAGCAATTACTGGGGCTTAAAGAGGGGAGGGAAAAGAAAGGAAAAAAAAAAAAAGCTGAAGGGCGAGCAGAGCTGTGTGTGCAGAGAGGAACCTGCCACGGAGCCACCAATTATGAAGTTTAGAGCGCGGAGCTCCCGCTGTGCCGGCGCGGAGCGTCTGCATCACGAGGGGAGACCTGTCAGCTCTAATGAGCACCACGACAGCACGAAGGCATCTGAGCTGCTCCAAACTTGCAGCAAACTCCGCTCTGGCTCCTGCCTTTAACTCCTTCCTCGCCCGGCCCAGGGCTGGGGCTGGGCTGGGCTGGCGGGAGCCGGCGGCGCGCGGGGAGGTGGCCGAGCCCCGAGCTTTGAGGGTCCTGCTGGAAAGGGAAGGTGACGGGGAGAGAGCGGGTGTCAGGTCCCATCGCCTCCGCCGGGCTCAAAATCCCTCCTGGTGCCACAGTGAATATTTCACCCTCCTCCGCGCTCCGGGGAGCAAACAGGAGGGAGGTGCAATTACAGCGATGTTGGGCGTCCGGGGGGATGGATGGAGGGCTGGGGGGGGGACAGGGAGCTGCTGGGGAGCAGGAGGAGGGCCAAGGGGACAGGCATGGCAGGCACCGGGGCACAGGGGGCATGAGAGCACCCGGGAGGGAGCGTGAGGGCTGTGGTGGGGGGCCTTGCTGGTGAGTGGCAG